AGCAAATAAGAATTTGTAAATGAAATTAACAAAGAATTCATCATTTTTTAATGAGTTATTTGAGCCTCATGACTCTTAAAAATGTTTTGCTCTTTTGTTTTTTTTTCTAATCTTAATAACTGTTTTAATTTTTCACTTATTTACAAATTGTGACATAATATTTTTTCTAAATTCATCAGTGTTTCGCGGAACACTTATTAAGACACCACTGCTCTAAGTAAACACACAAAGCAAATGGAGAGCTTAAACAGAAGAGCTAACTATCGCTAACTGTAAACCTATAATTACATATTGATATGATGAGGTCGAAGACTATCTAAATATACGACATAACTTTCTGCGAATAAGAATAACGTCTCAATAAATTCTATTATTATCCGGGTATTTCTGAATCTCTAAATCGTCGAGCCTCATGGTTATTAATCTGATGCATCGAAAGAAAAAGTGAAATACAATCAAGTGCTTCGTGGCGTTGAAATTTCATCATGATTTCATCACAGCTGATACATCATGATTTCATCATAGCTGGTGTATCTTCAAACGGCAGAAGCTGCTCGCCGGCGAAACAGCCAATCATCTAGTGATCCATACATGACTGCTGTCCTTTTATCTGATTGAACACCACGTGATAACACAAGCGTTATAACTGCACTCACACCAAGGACCGTCATTTGTTAGCCAACGAGCAGTCACTCGACGACCGTCAACAGCAACAGGTGTTTAAACTTCGTTTTTAATCTCTTTTCTTAATCAAATTCACTGAATATTTAAATAATCTTCAAAGAGTATAGTAAATGTCTCAATTTCTGTTCTTGTAACAATTTCTACTCACTGGCTCATAATTTTGTACATAATCTGAAGGCAGTGAATAGAGAGTGTGACATGAATAAAAATTGGGACAATTACTGTACTACTGTATAAAAAAAATCTATATAATTATCATAAAAAATCGAAACCAAGTTGAAGCATTTACATTATGTGTGCTACTTCTGTAAAAACTTATCTGACCATTTTTGTGTTAAGCCTTGTTTTCTGTGACATAATATGAAGCACTTTTCCAACTGACGCGTTTACACTACCCGTTGTTCGTGGAACTCCATTGACAAAGTTCTTTGGAATTTTATAAATTAGTGAGCAATAGACAACTCCGGTGGTGTTTAAACTCCGTTTCTAATCTATTTTCTTATTAAAATCCAGAAAATATTTCATTAGTCTTGAAGGAGTGCTGTGTACAATATCATTTCCTAATAAATAAATTACATTTCCTATTTCCACCTGTATAAACAATTCACGATAAGTCTTTTTTTCTGTGAGAAAACTTAAAGCATGTTTGCAACGTTATTCTATTATATAACACTGAAACGATTGAACTACTTAGTATTCGTGGAGTACAAGTGGCAACTAGTTATAAATATTAAGGATGTATTGGTTATACAGTCAATCCCAAAAGTTTATGCACTTTAGAAACGCATTTTTTAAAAAGAAATCAGACGTCGGAAGAACATTGCTAGTAATAAACAACAAAAAAAAATTTTTCGATTTTCCGCAAATTTTTCCCTTCAATTTCTTCCAAATTTTCAGTGCCACATCTTCTTATTAAAATTCAGTAAATATTTAATTAGCCTTCAAGGAGTGCTATCATACGTAAAAATATCCATATGATTATCTTAGAAAATTCAAAGCAAATTGAATATTTGAAGCTATAGTAGCCACTCCTTTAAACAGCATTTAAAGACTAAGCTGAACATTTCACGTTAAGATTTATGAGTCTTTAAATAAAAACAGCATTAAAATCTTAAGAGTTATTAAAATTAAATAAATAATAATAAAACACTGTGAAGAATTTTAGAACTTTTTCGAGGCTATTAAAAAGTCGATTATGTTTCGAATTCTTGTATTGGGAGGTTCAATAGTGGATGTTAAAACAAAAGAATTGTGAACACTTTTGCAGATACGATGAGACTCTTACTACCACTATTGTTTCTGACGGTACTGGCGTGTACCGCGTGTGATGGTCTACGAATTCTCGCCCTGTTCCCGCTGAATGGGAAGAGTCACTGGGTCATGGCTGAGGGACTGTTGACTGGCTTAACAAAACGGGGCCACCAGATCGACGTCGTCACGCACTTTTTATTAAAGAACCCGCCGGCGAATTACAAGGAAATCTCGGTGGACGGGATCCTGGAGACTGTGGTGAACAACATGAACGCGTCCAGTCTCTCATCAGGACTAAATCAGAACATGTCGTATTTGGTGAACATAGGCGGTGACAGGGTGTGCGAGCTGCTGAAATTACCGCAACTTCAAGAAGTGATACACAGAAACTCGAAGAGTCCTAAGTACGACGTCATTATTGTCGAGGTACGTTTTTCTCGAAAATTATCAAAATTGTTACAAAATATTTTGCCATCACTAAATGAAGTTCACCTTTTAATAAACTATTGGACATAATTGCGTACCAAAAATTATGCAAGAATACAATAGTATATTGTGTACCAAGGGCGTAAAGTGGAATTTTTTTAGACCGACTATTGCAACCACACGAGGTCAAAAGCCTACTTAGTTCTTGGTGCACACCACATTTTGCAAACAATGCTTATAATTATTATTATTATGATCTCAACGATTGCTGCAATTTGTTAATGGCATGGTTAGTATTTGTTGGAGGAAGCTACGTAAAAAACTGACATTGGAATTCTTTTCTATCTATGAATCATATTTTAAAAGGCCACATAACGAACAGCAATGAATACACTGTCGTATGCAATGTCGATTTTATACAACTCGTGGATACAAACTCGCACTAAGTTTGATATATCATACTTTCTTATTAATATAAAATGTGTCCTGCAACGTATGAAAGAAATGTTAATCTATCTTCAACTTATGCATCGAGAACGAGGTTTCAATGATAAAGCGTAATCGAGGTAATTCAAGTGGAACACCTGATAATGAAACCACAATCCAGTTTCTAATCGATCGAGACTCTAATTAAAAGTCAACAACAAAAGAACGAGTGATGATACAAATCGTGATCAAACTAAACTGATTAATCAGGCAATTCCATTATCTATTGTTAATATAATTTGTACAACGATAAGAGATCTCGTTTTTCTCATAACAGAAATATTCTTCGTCTTATAAATTATTTTGTGATCCTGCAAAAGTAACACTGATACACAGTGACTAATAAATAAGACTGACAAATTAATAAAGAGCATACATGGTTAGTATGCTCTCTGTATTTGATCCTATAATTTTGATTCATTACGCAAAGTCATGCATCAATTAACGTTAAACAGATTCACAATGGCTGATAAATAAACAATAATTAGTCTGTATTACCATGCATGCTTCCTGCGTTTGATTTCGTTACATCAGTAATAGAATACCCCATTTTTATCCCCCATTTTATTAGAAATGTTCTTCTATTTCTAAATAATTTTGAAGCAGCAATAGCAATAATTTATTTATCTCTGCTACTTGTATAATTTTGATTCTTTACGTAAAGCAGTAGCATCAATGAACGTTAAACATATCCACAGTTGCTGATAAATAATCAATAATTCATTTGCCTGTACTACTAGTCGTATGCTGCCTACGTTTAATTTAGTCGTTTATTAAGACTTTCTTTACGTAAAGCTAGACACCAATTAACGATAATCAGACTCGCATCATTTATCCGATTCGAAAATATCGAGTCGCGATAAAAAATATGTGACGCTTTATCACCAGAGTTGACAATGTGCAGGCCATTTATCTTTACAGATTTTAGTCCGCATGCTAGTAATGCAGGGAGTGCAAACGCTGTGCAAACAAAATGAGTTTGCACTCCATGATGCTGTTTACTTTCGTGCTCAACTATCCGAAGTTCGAACGTTCAAAAATGCTACCTAGACAAAACTTTTACGCATTACTACTTGCTCTCAAAACTGTTATTTCTAAATCGAGTTAAACTGATTGAGAAGTTTTAAAAAATGCACTGTTGCTTGTTAAAATACAAGAAACCAGTAATTCAATCAGCCCCATGAAATACAAAATTCATGTGAAATATCTACCAATCCTAATCTACTATCAGAACAGTTGTATCATAAATCGAAAAATAAAAAGAGAGATGAATCAGGACTTACTTAACGTATTAGCG